TGTAAATAATGGAGTTTTGCTTATGCCATAAATCCTTAAGTCTATAGCAATTTGTTTTTGCTCAATACTCAATAAAACTTGATATCGTAAGTCTAAATATATAGAAGCGTACACAACACTATTTTGCAAATTTTGTTGCTCTCAAATTTTCATGTTTTCTAATATTTTGTATAAAAAGGACTGTAAATTTTTCTAAATCTAATCACAACACTATTTTGCAAATATTGTTGCTCTTGAATTTTCATGTTTTCTAATATTTTGTATAAAAAGGACTGTAAAATTTTCTAAATCTAATCGGCATCTAATCCATATGCCATAAAAATCAAATAAACATAATTGTTCTGATTGTAATCTTAATATTGTTATTTTTAAAGGAGTGAATACATTAGTGGTCCTTTATTTGGCACCAATCATCTTCCGACAAAATGACTTCACATGCTCCTATATACAGAGTGAATACATTAGTAAGGTCCTTTATTTGGCACCAATCATCTTCCGACAAATGACTTTACATGCTCCTATAATTAAATCATTACAGAAATCTTTTAAACATAATAATCGTTCTAACATCATACAAATTGAGGACCAATGTGTTGTGCATTATCATTTAAATTAAAATATTATTACTTGAACTACAAGATAATTTACTTTCAAAATAATTAACGTATTTCTATAACATAGCATATTAATAAATTTACATAAAAATATTATTAAACTGGAAAATAATTTATGATATCAATCTCTAAATAAAATGGAAGTCCAGGAAGAAAATTGAAAGAAAAACGCGAAGAAAAAATAAATGATTCCACAAAAAAAGTTAATAAAATTTAAAAATTTATATTATTTTTTAAAAAAATATTTTTATTTGTAAAAATTTTTATGACACCTAGAACCCTTGGACCCTCCACTTTTAAAAAGGGTCCGGGTTCGGGTTCAGCCAAAATACGAGGGTCCAGGAGAGTTCAGGCTTCGGGTTCACATCCCTGGTTTTAACTCATAGATGGGCTTCTCCTATCATATTATATTAAGTCAACTCTAGTTAAAGGTAATAAATTTAAAGAAACAAATAATAAATATCTCACTATTAAGAAGAATCAGAATTAGTGAAGAAAACCAAAATTTATTTTAATCATGATTTGTTTTTTTATATGTACACTTATTTTATATAATAAATAGAGTTAAAAAATAATAATTTACCAAAAAGTTATAATATTGATTCAAAAGATCTTAAAGATTCTTTCAAAAAAGTTATGTCAAACTAACTGGCGCACCTGATAATCAATCAGAGACGTTTAGTAAATTATTGTTGTAACCAGGGTTGCCAGATTCATTCAAACAAAAAGCGGGAGAATTTAACCATAATTTAAGAATTTTTTTTTTATAACAAATAATATTTTTTTCCCTTTAAATGAATATATCTAATAAGCAACAATAAAATAAGGAAAGATCGTATATTATTTTTTTTAAATATTAAATTAATAAAAATCATTATATATAGGGCTGTGCCGATCCACATACTTTTCATCGATCCGATCCCTTATTTTCCGATATTGCTTCAAAACCGATCCGATACCGATCCGATATTTTTACTGATTTTTAATCACCCCCGTTTGAACCAAATGTAATCAAGAAATCAATATTTTTTATGCAAAAAATCGAATTATGAATAATTTAATTTTTTTATTTCTACAATTAAGACTATAATAAAAAAATATATATTTAATAATATATCTATTTTATGTTGGAATTATAAAATTGTAATATTTAATATATAAAATTATAATATATTAGATTTTTTTAATAAATATGAGAGCCTCTAGATTTTCGGGAAATAAGCTTCTACGATATGGACTATCTATATCTCCTGCCGTACTGAAGGCAGACTCAGATGATTCCGCAGATAACGCATTTTGCAAAATTATCTTTGTCTTTTGTAAAATATTTTCATAATTCAGATACCATATTTAAAAAAATTCTTTTATTTAAAGGATAAATAAAAAAATTGGCATTATTTAAAAATATTTAAAATAAATAAAACTTTGGGTGTTCCTTTCTATTTTTATTAAAAAAATTTTTAAAATACTATAAATCTATTTTAAAAAAGAAATAAAATTTAAAAAATTATTTAGAAAATATTATAATAATGTAAAATAAATATACATAACATAATATGAAATAACAAAAAAAAAGAAAAGTAAAAAGATCGGATCGATTTTTACAGGTATCGGCCCGATCCGATATTTTCGGAAAACGCGAAATATCGGCACCGATCCGATATTTAATATCGGCACAGCCCTAATTATATATATATATATTTTCAGAAGATTTTATATTATTAATTAAATTTTTATTTTTCGTCTTTACAAATATAATTGAAATTATGTTTCATTATTCGATTAAAAAGCTGATAAAGATAACCTATTACAATCTTTCTACCCTAAATTTTTCATTGCGCTCTGAATCAGAGTTTTAATATGATAACGAGTATGTAATATTAAATATTTTTTCAAAATTTGGCCCAAATTTGTAAATTCATAATATAAAATTATGATTGAATTTATTAGCTTCATTTTGAAATGATGCGGTTTTATCATGATCATCATATATTGTAAGATTTTGTCTTACAACCGAGCCATAAAAGTTATTGATAACTTGGGATTTTAAAATTGTAACTAATATATTAACTTATGAAAACATCTCCAATGCAATTGAATTTTTGGATTGAAATTTTTTAACCACGTGTTTTAGGTTGTCCCTATATTAATAATTAGACCTAAATAAGCCTCGGGCGATACATTTTCAAAATAATTTTAATATAAAATTGGGGTTTTTGGATAAAAAATAAGTTAACAGCTAAATATTTTTTATTAAGTCTTTCGAGAGCCAGTAGTATGATAGCCATCTTGCTGGAACAATTCTTAGAAGTTCGGACCATTCAATATCTTGAATTTTTTTAAAACAGATACCCTATTTGTGGATATGCTGAATTCGGCATAACATTTCATAGAAATGATTTCTATGTTTATTGATAATGAAGGAAGCCCTTTTCTTCCTGCATTGGGAATTGTATGGCACAGGTAACCAATGGGGATAATATTTTCATTCCAAACTAATAATTCCGTCTTTAGACTTTGCCTTTTCCCGAAATTCGGACTTGGGTTATGGACACAAAAAGCTGTTACATTTGATAATGAACGGTTACAATTTGCAAAGCTCTGCACAAGCATAGAAGCAATATCCTTCCATTTCTCAAAACAGATGAAATTTTTTTTAAATTTATACTTTACATCAGCGCAACATTATTGGAAATGTTTTAATATTTCCATTATTTGATCCATCAATTAAAGAGAAAATATATGATTTACTTTCTAATCCTCTAAGATGTGTTTCTTAGTTTCAGGGTCTAGAATATTTTACACTATTTTTCAGAGTTTTGTTCTTCTACATTTTATGTTTTTGGTTATTTTTGAATCAGGAAAGAGTATAAGCAACAAATTTGTAGAGCAATCTGTAGACAAATAATGAGAATGTTTTGACCAGGGGCCCAAAATTTTGAGTAAAAATGAAGATCAAAAAAATTGAAGATCTTTGAGCATGCGTTTTTATAAAAAAATCTTCTTTTATTTTACTTTGATGTTTTTTTAAAAAAAGATAAAAAAATTTCTCAGATGTTTTTTTAATCACCTGGACAATTTTTTAAAATTAAAAAAAAACATCAAAGGGAATATCTCAAAGAAAGTTTTTTTTACAATAACATTTTTTATGTTGCTCAATAATCTTCTTTGAGCATTTTCAAATTTTTTTCAAAAGAGCAAGGATCCTTGAAGATAAGTGAAATCGGGAAATTACGTCATAAGCGGAAGATCTGGCATCCCTTGTTTTTTATATTAAATTTTTGTTGATGATAATATAAAAATAATTTTAATTTTAAATCAATTCGTGTAGGTGTCTATAAAAAAATCTTTTCCATTTTTAGCCTAGGTTAATCCGAGACAGACATGGTCTAGAAAGTTTGAAAATTAGTTTTTTTTTGTATTTTATTATTAAAATCTTATATATTTAGTTTGTTATTGTTAAAATTTACATTAAAAAAGGATGTACTAGTTATATATATATTAGGGTATTGTTTCTTAGTATTACAAATATAAGATCAAATAAGATGAAAAAATTAAATGTTATTATTCAATTTTTAAACTTTAGAATATAGTGTTATTAAAAGGTCCAATTTGGTTCTATTTAAAAAACGGCTTGATCAAAAAATAATATTAGGTAAGCCTCGAGAATCGATAAGTAGAAGTCCAATCCTTTTGCCCCCTCTGAGCAAAATCTCCAGGCTTTCATAATATCATTTTAGCTAAAATCTTAATCTGGCCTTTTAAACTGGTAATTTAAGTTTAAATAATATTTAAAAAGTATTTGTATTAGAAATAATTAATGGCCATGCCAAAAAACAGGTGCCAACCTCTAATATGGATCTTATAAATATGCAAAATTTGAAATTTGCACTTATTTTTGTGCTTAAGATAGATATAAATGATTTTTCTCCACATTTAATTCACTAAATAGAAACGTAGCCATTTCATTGTATTATACATAATAATAAAGTCCAATACACACTATATTGTCCATTCTAACTTGCATTTAAAGAAACTTTTTGACAAACCAAATACCTTCATTTTTTATCAAACATAAAAAAAAATCTGTTCGGGCTGAGGTGGGCTTAAGATTTTTTAAAAATAATAAAAAAAATTTATTTTAATAAATTCGGGTCGGGCGGACAAATAATTTTTTGAATCGGGCCTTCCGGACATATTAAAAAAAATTCGTTTGATATCAAGTTATGTCAGACAAATTGTTTGGACTGGGCATGTAAAATTTGACCCGATGCCGATTATTGTCCAATCTAATTTGTCTTCAAATAAATTTTTTATACAAACCAAACGCCTTCATTTTATATCAAACAGAATATAAAAATAATTTTATTTATGATAATAAAATAGGGGCAGTAGGCGCCACAAACATGAACGAACATAGTAGCAGATCCCATGCTATATTCACTGTAACTATTGAATGCAGTAATTCAAGCAATCTTTTACCTAATGTTAATAATACAAACCCGGAAATTAGTCTCGATTCTCAATTGATCGCCTCATCAAATCATGTCAGAATGGGTAAATTGCATTTGGTGGATCTCGCTGGTTCAGAAAGATTAGCAAAGAGCAAGGCGCACCTGTTTGGAGGAAATCAGAGACTTAAAGAGGCATCCAAAATCAATTTTTCTCTCTCTTGCCTAGGAAACGTTGTGTCAGCTCTGTTATCAAATGATGTAAATCGTAATTCTGCAAATAATTTTAACAGCTCTGGAGCTTCTATTCAACACGTTCCTTACAGAAATTCAAAATTAACTCACATACTCAAAGATAGTTTGGGCGGGAATGCTAAGACGGTCATGATAGCTAATATTGGTCCAGCTGACTATAATTACGAAGAAACATTGAGGTTTTTTAAAATGTTTTTTGATGATTTGAATATCTTATAACATTTGTAATTATACTAGCTGATAGCCCGTTAAGATAAATAATAAATTTTACTTTCATTTGACGATGGATGATCAGAATAGTCAAATGAGAAGAATAGATTATCCATATTCATTCTTCCAAGATTTCTATAAATTTTTTAAAAAAAGGCCATATATTATGAAAAATATAGAATAAAAAAATATGGTTTTGTGAGTTATGATATTAATCAATTCTTTTAACAATTTTCCACATCCAGACACATTGGTTTTTGCCCTCCCACTTCGTATAAAATCTACATTCATCAGAATCATTTAAATGCTTTAAAACCTTCCTAAATACTTAAAAAAAAGACCTGTCATCAAAGATTCAAATCAATTATGGAGGCAAACCTGATTATCTCACAAACACTGGTAGCAAAAATAATTGCTATGGGTCAATGTTCAGGGTCGGGTCTTAACTTATTAAGTATACGTATCAATTAGAATTTAATGTTAAGGGATAAGGCAAAATATTTGTTGACAAGCCAATCTGACTGGTGATGTGTTTGTGTTTTTAAAAATTCTAGCACAAATATAAAAATTTTTTATTTACCACATTTTTTTAATCTCACGAAAAGTTTATTTTTTGAATCTCATAATAAATTATATTAAAAATTACACACACCAGAGGTGTATAAAAATATTACATCTCTACAATAATTATTGTTAGCTAGCCTAATTATGTTAGAGGAGAATGCTTCTGATGAAATTATGCTTGATGTTGAAGATAAGAAAATTTCCTCACAAAAGAGAGCAATCATATGGGATCAATATCAAATCCTTTAAGATGGTGAAAAGGCTGCTTGCAATCATTGCAATTATAAAATGTAAAGGCAAAACAACATCTCCTCTCATTATAATAGGTTTCATTCACACCTTAATAAAAAAATAATAAAATTGACATTTTTTTAAAGTCTACACCAAATTCTTCAAAAAAAATTAATTTTAAGGATAATTTATTAAAATTATTTATAAATAATAATATATCTTTTAAAATTATTGATTCAAATGATTTTAAAATTTTTATAAGTGATCGTGATTGTTCTGTAAAATCAATATGCTCCAATACTCTTAAATTGCACATGTATAATACATTTGCAGAAAAAGAACAATTGGTTAAGGAAATAATATCTAAAAATAAAAGTCAGATTAATTTTTCATCTGACATTTGGACTAGCCCAACACAGGTTCCTTTTTTAGGGCTAACAGCCCATTTTATTGATGATAATTTTAAAATAAATAACATAATTTTGGATGTAAGTCCAATAAATGAAATACATTCAGGTGAAAATATATTTAAAGCCTTTGTCAAAATAATTAAAATTAATAATTTAGAGAATAAAATTTTTTATATAACTTTAGATAATTCAACTAATAATAAAACATTTATTGATACATTTTCTTTAAAATATCCATTAATAAAAATAGGGCACATCCGATGCTTTGCCCATGTTTAATTTAATATCCAAAGAAATTAAAAAAATTTTAGATCCTTCAATTTTAAAACTAAGAAACATTATTAGAATGATTCGTAATTCCCCTAAAAAATTAAATTTATTAAAAAATATATGTAATTCCCTACACCCTCCCCTAAATTTCTTAAAACCAAAATTGGATTGTGAAATAAGGTGGAATAGCACCTACCAAATGATTGAAAAGGGCTTATTGTTAAAGCCTGCTATAACAAAATTAGTTAATGAATTAATAACTAATATTAAAATTCTTCAAGAAAAACAAATATCAGAGGTAAACTAAAATTTATAATTAGGTAATAATATAATACTTTGATAACATATAGGAAGAATGGGAGGATCTTATAAAAATTAAAGCTATCCTATTGCCTTTATATGAAACTACAAATATGGTTTATGGGGAGAATTATCCTACTTATAATTTGGGTATACCTTATTATATTTTAATTCTTGAACATCTAAAAAATGAAAAACCTGGTTTCCATAAATCCTTAAACAATAGTTTCAAAGTAGCATGCATGTGATAAATTGTTGGGCTATTATAATTTAACTGCCGATGATGCAATAATAACCACAATATTAGATCCCAGGCTTAAAGTAGAATATTTTAAATCAATGTCTGTTGATTATGATATTGATATATCCAAGTTAATGGACAAATTTAAAGAGATTTACTATAGATATACAGGTATTTTATTTCCCCCCATTTAATTATGATTAAGCTCATAATTATAACTGTCAAACAAATAAGGATAAAATTCAACAAAACAGGCTAGACATTGTTTTTAAACAAAATAATATTCAACTGTGTGAAATAGATTTGTATTTGAGTGAACTAAGAGCTAAGAGTGATACTGACCCGTTAATGTGGTGGAAGGCATATGCATATCGGATCCCCATACTCTCGAAAATGGCAAGGGATTATCTATCTATACAATGAACATCAACTGCTTGTGAAAGGCTTTTCTCAGTTGGAACTAATTTTTTGTCAAAAAACCGCATGTCATATAAGGAAGAAAATATAAGAAAAACTCTTTGCCTTAAAAATTGGCTTAAATTATAAATTAAATTAATAATATACATTTTAATTTTGTTTATAACTTGATTATATATTATTTATTATCAGATTATTGATTACATATTATTATAATTTTTTGTTTAAAATCAAATTTGTAATAAAAAAATTTATCAATATATTTGAGCATGATTTATTTTATTAAAAAAATTAATTCAAATTTTTCGAATAATTCGAATCGAATACAAATCGTAGATTTTATTATTCGTACGAATTCAAATAGTAAATTATTCGATTCGTTGCACTATTCGATTCGAATTCGTTTTTGAATAAGCCTATTCAGCATGTCATAGATTCTGACGAAAGGATCCAGTAGTGGTCACACGTCCTCGTTTATTTTACCTTGATATTTATTATCTCATCTATTATCTTAAATCTAAATTTGATTTGGATATAAATTTTTGGTATCTTGATTATGGAACAATCTGAGATGCTCTTCCTAAAATAATTTTTTTTCAATTTCTTGAAGCCAATTTTAAAAGGCTCATTCTTAATAAGTCCAAATCCAAAATCTGTTTCCATGATAACAATATACAAAACCCTCATCTATTATGATTTATTTTTTTATTGAGACAATAAATAATAATTAAATTAATATAATTAAAAAAAGGTATATTCAAACAAGTTTCAAATATTTATTCATATTGAATGCGATAAGTATATATATATATATATTAGGCTTATTCAAAAACGAATTCGAATCGAATAATTTACTATTTGAATTCGTGAATAATAAAATCTACTATTTGTATTCGATTCGAATTTTGCGAATAATTTGAATTAATTTTTTTAATAAAATAAATCATATTCAAATATATTGACAAATTTTTTTATTACAAATTTAATTTTAAACAGAAAAAATTATAATAATATGTAATCAATAATCTGATAATAAATAATATATAATCAAGTTACAAACAATATTAAAATATATATTATTAATTTAATTTATAATTTAAGCCAATTTTTAAGGCAAAGAGTTTTTCTTATATTTTCTTCCTTATGACATGGGGTTTTTTGACAATAAATTAGTCTCAACTGAGAAAAGCCTTTCACAAGCAGTTGATGTTCCTTGTATAGATAGATAATCCCTTGCCATTTTCGAGAGTATGGGGATCCGATATGCATTTGCCTTCCACCACATTAACGGGTCAGTATCATTCTTTGCTCTTGGTTCACTCAGATAAAAATCTATTTCACACAGTTGAATATTATTTTGTTTAAAAACAATGTCTAGCCTGTTTTGTTGAATTTTATCCTTATTTGTTTGACAGTTATAATTATGAGCTTAATCATATTTAAATGGGGGTAAATAAAATACCTGTATATTTATAGTAAATCTCTTTAAATTTGTCCATTAACTTGGATATATCAATATCATAATCAACAGATATTGATTTAAAATATTCTACTTTAAGCCTGGGATCTAATATTGTGGTTATTATTGCATCATCGGCAGTTAAATTATAATAGCCCAACAATTTATCACATGCATGCTACTTTGAAACTATTGTTAAAGGATTTATGGAAACCAGGTTTTTCATTTTTTAGATGTTCAAGAATTAAAATATAATAAGGTATAACCAAATTATAAGTTAATTCTCCCCACACACCATATTTGTAGTTTCATATAAAGGCAATAGGGTAGCTTTAATTTTTATAAGATCCTCCCATTCTTCCTATATGTTATCAAAGTATTATATTATTACCTAATTATAAATTTTAGTTTACCTCTGATATTTGTTTCTTGAAGAATTTAATATTAGTTATTAATTCATTAACTAATTTTGTTATAGCAGACTTTAACAATAAGCCCCTTTCAATCATTTGGTAGGTGCTATTCCACCTTATTTCACAATCCAATTTTGGTTTTAAGAAATTTAGGGGAGGGTGTAGGGAACTACATATATTTATTAATAAATTTAATTTTTTAGGGGAATTACGAATCATTCTAATAATGTATCTTAGTTTTAGAATTGAATTTTTAAAATTTCTTTGGATATTAAGGGCAAAGCATCGGATGTGCCCTATTTTTATTAATGGATATTTTAAAGAAAATGTATCAATAAATTTTTATTATTAGTTTGCATTATCTAAAGTTATATAAAAAATTTTATTAAATATATTTTCACCTGAATGTATTTCATTTATTAAACTTACATCCAAAATTATTTTATTTATTTTAAAATTATCATCAAAAAAATGGGCTGTTAGCCCTAAAAAAGGAACCTGTGTTGGTCTAGTCCAAATGTCAGATGAAAAATTAATCTGACTTTTATTTTTAGATATGATTTCCTTTAACAACTGTTCTTTTTCTGCAAATGTATTATACATGTGCAATTTAAGAGTATTGGAGCATATTGATTTTACAGAACAATCACGATCACTTATAAAAATTTTAAAATCATTTGAATTAATAATTTTAAAAGATATATTATTATTTATAAATAATTTTAATAAATTATCTTTAAAATTAATTTTTTTTGAAGAATTTGGTGTAGACTTTAAAAATATGTCTATTTTATTATTTTTTTTACTAAGGTGTGAATGAAACCTATTATAATGATTAATAAGAGGAGATGTTGTTTTGCCCTTACATTTTATAATACTCTTGCTTGCAATGATTGCAAGCAGCCTTTTCACTATCTTTAAGGATTTGATATATATCCCATATGATTGCTCTCTTTTGTGAGGAAATTTTCTCATCTTCAACATCAAGCATAATTTCATCAGAAGCATTCTCCTCTAACATAATTAGGCTAGCTAACAATAATTATTGTAGAAATGTAATATATTTTTATGTACCTCTGGTTTGTGTAATTTTTAATATAATTTATTATGAGATTCAAAAAATAAACTTTTCGTGAGATTCAAAAAATGTGGCAAATAAAAATTTAAATTTTCACTTCAAAAATTTTTAAATTTGTGCTAGAATTTTTATAAACACACACATCACCTGTCCGATTGGCAGGTCAACAAATAGAAATGACAAATGTTAGATTTATTAAACAATTTATTAAATATAAATATTACGAATAATTCGTTTTATTCGAATCGAACAAATGATTATTTGTATTCAGATAAGACAAATAATTTATTATTCGTATTCGTAATTATTCGATTAGATTCGAATATTCGAATTATTTTTGAATAGGCCTAATATATATATACTTCATTAACATATAAGAATAATAAAAATTTTGGAAATAAGGTAATAAATTTCTGAATCACACTTCATATGGGCTTATTTCAATTTATCCATCATCAAATTAAGGAGAATACTAATTCCTTGTCATTCTTGTGGGACATCAGCTAGTAATCTTATATATGTAAATATTAATTAGATTATGGGAATGGATCATTCCTTAAGTGTTTTTTTATTTACAATGGAAGCCACAAAGCACTCCTTGGTAAATTGTTATCCACATTTGAATAGTTTGCATCTTCTCATGATGTGGATCCATCAAGATGATCCTAATTTTAGAATATATTTTGATACAGGTATAGGGGTTAGACAATATTTTAATTATTTTAAATATTCCCCGGCTGGGCCTAAAAATTATCCCAAAGGACGGAACCACCAAATTGAATTAAGAAGAAAAAAAATCTTAGCTAGGATTCGAACCCAAAGCCATCAGATATGTAAGCGACGTTCTTGCCGATTAGGCCACAAATGCTTTTCAAAATTAACTATTTTTTAAATACATATAAAATGTGACAGGCTTTTATATATATATATTGTTGATTTCATAATTTATAAGTTTAAGCAAAAAACATTAAAATAATACATAAAGAGCCAAATCAACCAATATAATTTTTAAACATTGGACAAGCAAGTTAAACAAAATTTTTAAATAAATGAGCAGGCACACCAAAACTTGCCCTTTGCAGCCTCTAGACAGGATGACATCGAAACAGCAGATCTTAATGAATTTTACTTCTGCCAAAGATTCAATTTATAAATGATATGCTTCTGCCACTTTTATTTTCCCATAAATTTACAGCCAGAGGTATTTTCAGGCCTAATGGGAATTTAGTTAATGCCCATCCCAAAGGATGAAACCACCAAGTTGGATTAAGAAAAAAAAATCTTTGCTGGGATTCGAACCCAAGGCCATCAGATTTGTAAGCGACGCTCTTGCCGATTAGGCCACAGATGCTTTTCAAAATTCACGATTTTTTAAATATATATTATAAATTGTGACACTATGAGTGTGATACGGCTTTTATATATTATAGTTTATTCTCATGTTCTAATACCTTTTACTTAATATATATATATAATATTTTTTTAGCACTTTAAGATATGCTAATAGAGTTAAAAGCATTAAAAACAAAGCAGTTATCAATGAAGATCCAAAGGATGCCATGCTGAGAAAATACCAAAAGGACATAGAAGAATTGAAGAGAATGCTTGAAAATACGAATGAAGATGACTTACCATCTGATGAGGTTATAATAAATAAAAATTGTTTTTCTTTTATATCATACTCCAACTTATGCCGGTATTGATCAATATTCTTAATTTTAAGCAATACATGGTCAAGACACAAAAATCTTCTAAACTTCAAGTTTATGGTAGATTACTTTGAACCCTGTTTCTTCATCTTATAATATAATGAAGAAAAATATAAATAATTGAATAGCTATATATTTCAGAGACTTGCAGAGGTAACATTTGCACGGCTTGCAGATTTTTTAAAAAATATATTATATTTAATTTTTATAGATAATAATGACTATTTAAAATATTTGGTTTTAAAATATGCGACCCGGCCTGGGTATTTTTTTTAAAAAAAAATTTTAGGCCCGGCCCGGCCCAGCCCATGTATATTTTATAAAGATTTTGAATGGCTCCTTAAATGGTTTCAAACCCTGGCTCGGGTATTTTAAAAAAAAAATTTTAGGCCCGGCCCAGCCCAGCCCATGTATATTTATAAAGATTTTGAATGACTCCTTATAAAATGGTTTCAGACTCAACAAAAATAATTAAATATTCGACTTGACACTATTATTAAATTGAGAAACCGCTTTCGGATTTAATAATGATATTGTTTTTAAAAAAAATTAAATATCGAAATAAAGGATGACGATGGTGGTGAAGAGGAAAGCAATATCAACAAAGATAAGGTATCTACACCTGGAAGTTGTAAACGTAAAAGTAATATAGTTTTCCTTAATTTATTATTGTTATTTTAAGTGCTTTTAAAAAAGGTGTATATATTATTTATTATATTAAAAAGGACATAATACAGATCAGTGACAAAGCGTGAAGTTTACTAATAGGTAGGTAGTTAATTTTTTTCATTTGCAAACCCATATAAAAAAAATTAAGATATATGTATAAGTGAACATTTGCTAGATTTTTAATAACTTATTTTTAATATATAATTACTTGATAGAGTGAATAATCTATTATGACTTGTGTTTCTACAATAAGTTTTTATTTTAAAGATGAAAATCCCTACTCTGCCCTTGCGGTGTTTGAGACAATGTTTGTATGAAAGGTTTTGTTTATTTTTCCAAATTTTGTAAAGTTGTTATTGGTTTTCCTTTTCGATAATCAATTTCTTTGTATCAAGATTTCTTGAGTTAAAAGATATTTCGAATAATGTTTAAAAAGAAACATTCTATATAAATAAAGGAAAGAATAAAAATAAAATATTAAAAATTTTCTTTTATTAAGAAATATGCTATTTTTTATTTGCTTCCCCATCTCTTATTTTTTAAAAGTAAAATGACACAATAAATTCACATGAGTTTATCTTTATTTAATAAAAAAATGAGCAATTTAAGATTTGCTTCATTCATGAATATTTTTTTAACATATTAATAATGTTTAATTTTTTAAATCAGTAAAAATAATATTAATATTTTTAACGTAGCATAAAAAATATATTAATTTTATTTAGGAATTTATTAAGAAAAATACAAGAGAACCAATGGTTCCCTTGCTTCTATGGATGCTTCATCACTGATGCAGATCATTTTAAGGATTTTGGTTCACACTCATATTTAAGCCTTTAATATAAGGGAAATAATTAATATTTCAAAATTTACCCGATACAGCTTTATCTCAGACCAAAATCCAAGATATTCAAAATGAAATAGACATGGAGAAGAAATTGTTATCGGATCGGAAGGACCTCTTAGACGAGGAAAAAAACATAGTTTTAATTAAACTGCAACAACGAGAAAAGCAATTGATTGATGCTCGGTATAGAAGTATTTCCTTTTACATAACAACTGTAGGCACCAAATATTTAATTTTTGCCCCTTTTACATTTTCAATCACATTCTTAAATCGTAGATTAGAACGCGACGCTTTAATCCTCAAGCTTTCCTCTATGGAACACAACGTCCTTATGGGTGGAGGTTCTTCTCCTAAACCTAATTCTTTCTCTAACTCAATCATAAGCTCCAACACCTTCCCGAACCCTGATATGAACATGCAAGCACTACGAGATAGTTCTCAAGAGCTGGCCGATCGCGTGGAACGAACTCGTGCCTTGACTAGAGCCTTTAAAGAGACCCAGGCACTAGGATTGGATATGGAAGAAAAATATGTCAATCTAAAGGAAGAAGCATTAGGTAAGACCGAGAAGCTCCAAAAAGTTTGGGAGGCATTGCTTGAGGCTAAGTCCAAGGTTTGTGAATCAAAATCATTTATTTTTAATTTAGAATTTTTGTTGGATTTTTTATACGATATTTTGAAAATTGAAAAAATATCTTCCGGTATCTTGGACTTTGATAAAGCAAAATAATAAGTAACAAAGAGTAAATATTGGAGAAAGGGACTACGATTTTTTAAGTAATTCATGAAAAGATTGTGGGATCTTGTTATGCAATGTATTTTATATGCATTTAGGTATTAAAGAAGTGAGTTTTATTGAACGTTCGCCAGAGTATATACAGATTGATAAATCAACATAGGCTATTGGCCTGGACTCGAAAAAGAAATATATTGGTTTAAATTCGGTAGTAATGCAAAATAAAAATGAGCTTAGTATATTTTTAAAAGGGTTTTTGTAAGTCTCATCTAACTGAATATATTTTCTTAGACCTGCTCACCAATGGAACTATTAACAGCCGACGCGGTATTTAGAAGTCCAATCGGCGGTTAATGGCGCTCTGCATATGGGTAGACGGCCGGCCGCCGACCTTTTTTGGTTACGCCGAAAACGCCGCCGTTTAAGAAAGTTACGCCGGCGCGCTGCCGATTTTCATGTCGTCGGCACTCGGCCGGCGCACAAATTTCTTTCATATTTTACTTTTTATTCTAATAATTGGTCAACATAACTCTTGTAATTTTTTAATGTCAATCAGGATTTTGATGAATTTTTATTTTCTACTATTTTAAAATCATAATTATATTGACTCATCATAGAATTCAATCAATCAAAAATCTAAAATTCCAAAAGTTACCATAATTTTACATATTTTTAAAATGGATGTATCTACATTTAATAATTCTATAAATAATTTTAGTATCCTAACTTTGGATAATAAAAAATCCATAGTCTGGATATTTTTTGCAAAATTTGAATTCGAGGAATATCAAAGAAAATGTCTAAGTACAATAGATTTAACATCAGACATGTTAGATCTTGACCGTTTATAAATTGTCAATTCCAATGATAATAATAATAACAATAATTTCACGTATATGAAAACCTTAAAATTAAATGTCCCAAGCCCAACACGTTGACATAGTATAGTAATTATGCTAGAAAGCATATCTGGATTAAATAAGGATTTAATTAATAATGTTTTGAAAAGAATTGGGAAGCACTTTCTCAAATTATGAATCTGATCTGGTAGAAGAACTATTAGCATTTCTTTCAAAATTTAAAGAAACTGTCGAATTTTTTTCAGTACAAAAAGGACCTACTTTAAACTTGGCGTTACTTTTTAGAAGTGAAATTGAATAGTAAATGATAGTGATAGTTCTGAAATTATTTCACTTAAGGAAAATATACTAAAAAAACTTGCGTTACGATTTCCAGTTTGTAATGTAAGTAATATTATATAAGTATATTCTTTTATTTTGTATTTAAAATTATCTAGGTATTGGCTTCTCTTTTAGATCCAAGATTTTAAAAATTGACAATTGTGTCAAAATATTTAATAGAGCAAAATTGCTCAGCTTCAGAATTTATAATAAAACATCTTAAACTTATAAAGAATGATGATAATCAGGTAGTAAATATAGCTAATGAGGATGAAGATGAATTATTTGACAAAATTGGCAAATAAACATTCAACAAATATAAATTATGATTCCAAGTTAGGTGACTTAGAACAAGAATGCCACAGTTTTCTTGGAAGACATTCACAAGATATGGACGTTTCTAAATTTTTGGAGAGAAAAGAAGAGTGAACTTCCCAATCTTTCCAGGCTCGTCAAAAAAATTCTTTGCATTCCGGCGACTAGCACACCTAGTGAAAGAATTTTCTCTATCGCTGGATTGACGTTAAATTCAAGGAGATCATCATTATGTCCCGAAAATTTAAATAAAATAATCTTTATACATGATATTATAAAATTACAAAATCGATTTTGGATATAAGTTTTCTATTAAATGAATATTAAATAATATGCCTAGATATCTGTAGAATAGTGTATATTTATTTGTTTTTTTTTAAAAATTAATAAGCAATTAAAAAAATTTACAACTGCGCCGATTTTATTGACGGCCGCTAAAAATCAGCCCGCCGCCAGCCGTCGATTAGATTTTTGAAAATTGCCCCGGCCGCCGATATTTTCGTCGGCTCACAGGTCTACATATGGGTAACATGAATCGGCCTACTGACTTACATTTTTATAATATACATTAAATTATAATTTTTCAATTGAATTTTTTAAAAAATGCTAATAAAATTGTTAAATTAAAAAAAGGATGTATACAGGCTCGGACGCAGCTATTCTTTATAAGGAGAGAGGGATATTTTTTTTAGAATTATTCTAGGAGTTATAATAACCTAAGTTTCAAAAAATTAGAACAGTGGCTAAAATATTGGCAATTTCTAATACACAAATTCAAATATAAATTAATGATAGTATTAAATGCATATAATCGGCATATGAATTACTATAAAATGAAAGAACTTTGTAAAAAAAATTTTTTTTTAAAGAATTTATAATTTGATATATAAATTTTAATTATATAAAAAATAAATGTTTGGAATATAGATAAGTGCACAAAATATTCTTAAGAATGATTGTATTTGCATAAATTTACTAAATATTGATTAAAAAAAATATGATCTATTAAAAAAGTGAGAAAAATATAATTAAGAAGTATATTATAAATTTATAATATGAAATTCAATCTTTTTTAGGGACAAGTTAATTTTCCAATGATTTCATCAGTACCTGGTGTTTTCCCTATGTATATTATAAAGGGTTAACATTCCATCTATCTTCTCAGTAGTGTTGTTAAACCGCTCGATTTGAGCCGATTTTTAAAGATGGTTTAAACAATATTTTATTTAGAAAAATATTACTCCAGCATGAAGATTTTGCTTATAGATGGCGCAAAGGTTTGGACATCTTAGCGAAATCTAGAGGTTTAGGCAATATTTTTCTTGCTAAATATTGAATTAGTCTTTTTTAAAAATCGGCTGAAATCGATCAATTTAACACTATTTCTCATATATTTATTATTGTTAAAGAATATAATATTTTTTCATTGAATAATTATATATATATTAAGAAAATAGTCTAAAATATGTTTGAAATTATGCCAAGCGTCTATATAATTTTTAGGAATATTATCCTTTTATACCATAGTTTGCATTAAGCTAGTAATGCATCATGAGATACTTTAACATCCTTACAATAAAAATCTGCCAAAATTTAATTTTTTCTCCATCAAGATTTGAAATAAATTCGGAAGGATTCTACGATAATAATATTTGCAGATAAAGTATCCAAGGGGGGTACATGGATTATTTGATAATATTCTTCGACTAACCCTAAATTGATATTGGAACGATGGGCTTGCCTTGCTGCGAGTAGAGTTAGACAAATATTAATTCACGGAGCTGCATTTGACTTAACAGTGATATATAATTTATGAAATTGGTCATTTATATTTGCCCTAATTTTTTTAACAGAATGTTTTCAACTATTCTCAATCTCAACCAAATTGATGTTATTTTTTTGAAATATTTTACTTTAGTTTTGCAGTTAAAAAGTTTCAAATGATTTGGTGGGAAATTTTAAAATGCTAGATAAATATATCCAAGGAAATTTTGAAATCATTATTGTAGCTTATTTTATTTGTTGTGAATCTGATGAATAAATGAAAATTGAAAAATATATGCCATAAGAGGAAGGAATGTTTATTACAAAAATGAAATAATTATAAAACATTTTTGAAAAATATTTTAGCCATTATCTAAATTTCTTTGGCTTTAAGGGGGGCTCCCCGGTGCCTACGCTCTTGGATGTGCACTATTACCAACATGTTTTTATATATTTATTGAAATTAAAGAAACTAATTAAAACTCAAGTTTATATCTTGAGTTCACGTCTCGTATAACTTGAGCTGAGACTTGGATTTTTTGACCCAAAATTTGGCTCTAGTTTCCGACTAAGTCGAACTATACTTAGACAACCCTACTCTTTTCTATCAAAAAATTTTGAATATCCTTATCATGTGGATGGATTGTGTTTTTCTGATAAGAATATACGATTTTTGTTCCAATTTATTCAAAGTAGAATCATAATTGCCATTGAATGTTATTCAACATATCTCTTGTTATTCAATTTCTATTTCAATTGAATATCATAGTAGCTGGAAGTCATTATTTTATAATAAATTGTTGATGCACAGTTTTTTATCATTTAATTTTTAAAATTGGGTGTCGAATAAATAAACCAACATCTAGATTTTTATAAATTTAAGTGAAAGGTTTCTCTTTCACCCCTGAAAAGCAATGCAAAATTCAAGGTAAAAATCTCCAGGTAATCCGATTCTAGTTCTAAAATTTACAATAATGTTTTTAAATTCTTTTAAAGCATTATATTAGCTTCGTAATTGATTTTAAGTAATTAATATACGATGTCACCTAGTTGAGAGATCACTTTGATGTCCTCAGTTATTGTAAATATCATAATTGTAATCACCAATAAAAATATAAACTTTTTCATATTATATTAAAATTTTATTATTAATAAATATAAATTTAAATAATTTTAAAAAATGCCTTAATTATATGCCACAGATATAAAATTTCTTAGTTACCCTAGCGTGTTAATAAACGGCGGCTTTTTTGCATAGGTCAATTTGATATCGATGAGATCTAACCACTTTTTTAACACAAATTATACTTAAAAAATACAAAATATTTTCAAGATCAAAGAAATAGGTCGCGAACATCAAATGGCCAAAGACTCAGCCCTCGATACTCTGAGATCATTGAATCGTGAATGTAAACTTTATACCTCATTAGTCGATTATTTTGTGGTGAGACCTGCTTTTTTAAACCTCATCAAAGCCAACTCGGAATGGGACGAAATTGCTCAAGAGTGGAGACTTCAATGCGTGGCTTATACCGGCAACAACGTGCTTAACTCTTCTGCTTTTACTAACGAGGGATCCAGTTCTGAATCAGTTACATAACGCTCACTAATAATTATGTTTACTTATTTTTTACATTCACTGCATGGTTTTGTCGATTTTAATTTATTTTAAAAGACCTTAATTAAATCTTCATTTTATCACTGTCCACTTTTTTATGAGCGTTTGACTTTAGCTGTGTGACGTATTTTTTTGATGCTTGGTAGGTGCATTTAATAACTCCCCTATGTAGCTTTTCCTTTTAGAAATTTTTTTATTTTGTAACCGATTACTATAATATGTGACAGATTATTAGAAAATTTAAATAATTTGGTATTGGTAAGCTCGCTGACTAGGACCCATGGTCCATATGCATGGGTAAAAACTAGTATATATATTTATTCTGAGCTTTACTGGCGATCTGTGCAATCACAAAATTTTAAATTGGTGATTTGGAGTTGATTTGTTTAATAAAAATTTCATTTGATGTTTATTTTGAGTCCAACGAGAGTAACTAAGGGAGTCTCTTAGCAATATCGCAGTGGGGGCACATCGGATTTGCAATGGGTTACCTTGAAGAACACATGAGAGCGCAAGTGTAACCAATCTACAAGGGCAAAAAAATAAGAATTTGTATTTAGATTGATTCATATTTTTTATTTATCCTTTTGCAATTGTAAATCAAGTTTTATCTATGAGCAACCAAGTCCGTGTAATTCCTTTAAGGAGGTGTTGTTAAATGGTTGGTTTTATACAGGGTTGTGCATTTGACCGGTCAAATACAATTCGGTCAATTGACCGATATTTGACCGGTCAAATATGGTCAAATATGGTCAAATTCAAATAAATGTTTTTTACACCAATATTAACTTTATTTTGCATTTATATAATATTATAATAAATCTATGTATAATAATAAATATCATAATATTTTTTAATTCATTCTATAGTCAATGTTTCACCCTCCGTGGCAGAGTCTTGTTCCGATTCATATTCAATATCATTATTTTCTTTAATATTTTGAATCAATCTTAAATTATGATACACTCTTACTAATTTTCCTGCTGTAGAAGCCTTTAATCTATTTCTGTTTTTCGTGTGAATATTGCCCTAAACCGACCAATTTCTTTCAGAAGAAGAAATCGAACTAGGAAATGTTAGTAAAATATTAGCGACTTCTCTTAATGGGCAAGGTGGGCAAAATGCATTCCACCAACTTGAGGCCGAAATTTGATTGTTTCTTATGGAAGTTACAACTTTCCACATATTATGGCTATTAAATATACCGCTTTTGCTTCTGAAATTTACTATATTACTCAAAATATTTTGATTATCACCACCTTGTAAAATACCCAATTCTTGTATTATATTACATGCTTCATCAAATTCAGTATTAGTAAGATGCTCCCCTTGATATTGGGGGTCCAATAAATAAGCAGCATTGTGAGCACATGTATTTAGATCAGTTTTTCTCTTTTCAAACATAACCTTAATTTTTTTTTCTTGAGATGGAGAAAATATAGAATCATGGCATGATTGTATTATGTGTTTTTCCAAATTAAGCATCTCGTTTTTTACTTGGGCCAAAGTACATTTATCCCCTTGCACTTTCAACAATGAGGTAGCTAAAGGCGTCCAAAATTCTTCGTTTAATATATTATTGGTAATTTCTATGGGACAAATATCACAAACAGCTTCTTCAACAACTGATGCTTTTAGAGCTTTCTTGCATATTTGAATTTGTTCCATACATTTTATTGACGATGCCCATCTTGTTTGGCTAATTGTACTTAATGTAGATGGTATGCCATGAAGATTCTTATTACGGGAAAATACTGCAGCTGGTATGTGTTTATTCTTGAAAAATTTAACAATTTTTTTAATTATTGAAATATGGTCACTGAAGGCGTTCAATCGTTCAAAATCGTGAAAGAATAACTGCAATGTATGCGCTGCACAACCATAACATTGTATATGATTATAAATAGATTCAGATTTTAGAATTCTCCAGGCTGCTTTCATGTTAACGGCATTATCAGTAACTAAAGAATATACTTTTACCGGATTCAATTCATGAATTACATTTTTAAATTCCTGGGCAATATAATCTGCCTTATGGCGATTTTCCTCAGTATTTAGAAATTTGTAGAACACTGGAACAGGCGTCATCACCATAAAATTAATAATACTCTCGTTTCTAATGTTGCTCCAGCCATCTGATACAATTGATAAGTAAGGAGCTTTATCTATTATATCTGCAACTCTCACCTCCATATCACCTGACGCTTTGTCTAAAAGATATCCAGCCAGCTGCCTTCTCCTGGGTAATGTGTAAATAGGACGTATTTTTTTAAAAAATTCTTGGATGTAGGGATTTTCAGTGATGTAAAAAGGTAAATTGCTCGCATATACAGCCTTTGCAAACAATTGATCCAGCTCATTTTTTTCTTTGGGATTAATTCTATCTATGAAACCAGTTATACAAGATTGAGATTTATATTTAATCGCCTTGCTTGTAGATTGATTAGGAATAATGGAATCAAATTCTCCTGAGTCATAAGACAAAATATTGTTCATTTGATAATCATTCTCACTAATTTCACCCAATTCTTCATTAGAGTTAGACTTAGAAGTATTACAAATTACATTTGTGATATTTTTTGTAGAGGTTGATATTTTGGAATTTGAATAAAATTTTTCCTTAATTATAACAGGGCACATAGTACAGCTGCTTAATAAATGTTTGACCATTCTATCAACGTGGGTGATATAGAACATCTTGCAAAACTTGCACACCGCTAATAACTGATTTACCATCGCGTACTTCTTGAAAATGTTTCCAAACATGATGCTTTGGTTTGACTATAATCCCTAATATATTAAAATTTAACAAAAAATGATTTTGATTATTGTAAAGTTAATCAATCTTAACTATTCTATAATTATCGACCAATTATTCCAATAATTTCTTAATATTATAAATATAATATAATATATATAACTTTTTACCAGAATTGAATAATATTCCGTAAATCTGACCAGAACAATTAAAATGAAAATTAATTTTAAAAACCAAATATAGCAAGTGTAAGTAAAACAAATGAGAATTGATATAATTTATACTCGGCTAAATATTAAATAAAATTTAAATTTATTAAAAAATAAGAATGAAAAAATTATATTATGATTATAATAAATCGGGTATTTTTATTTTTTTTAAAAAAAATGAATTGAAAAAAATGAAGAAGGCGAGAAACGGCAATGATTAGGCAAAAAAATAACTAAAAATATTACTATATTTAGGAAAATTACATATTTATATTTTAACAATAAAAAAATTCTTTTGTTTTTAACAATTCATGATACAAATAATTTTTTAAATAATTGTAACCTAATAAGATTGATAAACATGCTTTTAATGCATACTAGTTAATTATATCAAAATATTTATTCGCCATTAATATTTTAGAGTATTTGACCGTATTTGACCGGTCAAATATTCCTCCGGTCAATTGACCGACATGCCAACCCTGGTTTTATATGACCTCAACCTTTTTAGTGGTCGGGAAATAAATCCAATCGAATGGGTTGATTTGGTCGATGAATATTTTTTGGCCTGAGCTGGAGAAATAACAATATTATTATAGATGTATCGAATTCAATTTAAAAATATATTGTTTATTTAATAAATATGAAAGATTAAGATTAATTTTTCTGAGATATTGTCTCTTGTGATTTTTTTTCCTTGTGAACTATGAAGAGTTTATGAAAAATATATTGTAACTTTTATTTTAAAATATTACTAATTAACCACTCAGCTAATTATTAAAAAGTAAGGCGTCAAAGGGTTAGGGAGAAAAAATGTATGAATTTGTTTGCATTTAAATTTAGACCATTATATTGTATTCATTATTTTGTGGGAATCTTTTTGAAATCTATATTCTTTTTCTATAAATTGATTTATATTTACTTGAAACATTAACAACAGATAGCCTTTTATTAGTTTAAAAACTCGCAATAAATGTTTTTTTTAAATTTATCTTCAGTAAGGGTAATATTTTTATAGAAACAGAATATTTTTTGGAATTTATATCTTATATTATAACCCATTATTTTTAGATTTTAAGAATTATGATTCTATGGCCCAAATAAGGTACACACAAGATTTTATGAATTATTAATGGGAATTTAATTTAGTGGGATTATCAGTTTTTTTTAATTTTAATCTTTTTTTATTAAAATCAAATTAAAGTTTGAAAAAATTCAAAAAATTTTTGAGCAAAAATCATTGAAGATTTTTTTACAAAATTTTAAAAAAAATAATTAATACAATAATATTGAATTTGTTTTTGGATCGGTGCTCTGTTCGGAATTCGGAGAGGTAATGATGATTATTAGAATCGTAAGTTACGATTAATCTTGTTTTATAAATTATATAATTTAAAATTAATCTTAGGAACCTGAAAGTAACGATAGCGATTTCGTTGGAGAGGATAATGACGAAGAAAAACAGAATCGAATATTCAACAATTATAAATTGCCTCGTGAAATATTAGATTTGGTAATTTATTTATAAAATATAAAATTTTTCATTTTTTATATATTTTTTTTTATCTAATCAGTTTCACAAAATTTATTTTTCTTATTGAATATAAAGATATTAATTATTTTTAGGATTTGACTTTTTTTAAAAATAGTTCTAATAAATATATAAACAATCATAGCCCACCATATTACGAGCAAATTTGTTTTGTGAATATTAAAGAAATTATGATGCTAATATCAAAAAATATTTTTTTAGTTTTGGCTGAGGTAATATATTAGTTTTAAGGGTAGCGAGCAAACAGCCGCATTAATTAAAAAATATAACCATAGAGATCTGCACCCTCGTCGATATTATCTCAGGCTCGGTCTAAACAAACTTAAATTTTAAGATTTAAATTCAGACCGAAATCACCCAAAATTTTTATTTACCCTTAAGCTTATAATTATTCTGCTTTCCTACTCTTTAAATATCTCACTTTTTTTAGCAATTAAATATTGTTTTTTGGATCGCAGGACCTATTTTTAAAAATAAAGCTTTGGACTCGAATCTTGAGTTTTTCTAATTGGATTATGCGAACAAAAAATTTTCTCGGATAGAGCCGAACCTGAAAAAGATCGGATGCAAAGCTCAGTCACATTCATCTAAAATTAGTATTGTTAAACGGCTCAATTTGAGCCAATTTTTAAAAATGGCTAACTCAATATTTTGTTCAGAAAAATATTACATAAGTCGGAAGATTTTACTCTTAGATGACACAAAGGTTTGGTCATCTATTAGCGAGATCTCGCGACTTAGGCAATATTTTTCTTGCTAAAATATTGAGTTAGCCGTTTTTAAAAATTGCTAAAATCGAGCCATTTAACACACTATCTAAAATTCTATATTTTTATAAAAATATTATAGGTCCTAAACAAACAATTCGACGAGAAATCTCTTTATATATCATTAAATTAGTCTAATTTGTATTTATCGTCATAAAACATTTGTGCAATTTATGTGTAATATAGTTTTTGAAGTTTAGTATTTTTATTACATTTATTCTACAGTGCAATCAGTAACATTATACAACATTCCATTCTATTTTAAATTTAATCGATTTGTTTTGTAAAAATATTTTATAATAAACAACTATTGTGATAAGATTTCTTAATTGAAAATGTATTTTATTATCAAATTTTTACAAATAAAATATTATAAATTAGGTGACTTATAAAAATGTTATGTGGGCTGAAATATTTTGTTAAAGATATGTTAAAAACTTGAAAAAAACCGAATTAAATTTTAATTGATTATAAAAAAAATAACAAATAAACTTGCAATTTATATTCTGTATAGAAAATTTTATTTTTTAAATGCGTGTCTTTATATTTCATCTTTATTTATATTACCACATTAAATCAAGCTTTTTCTTTATAAAAATTTAAAATTGCGTTATGATTTAGTCATTTTTCATAATAGAACTTAAATAAGATTTAAGACATGTTAGTCTTAAAAACGATCTTTCCGCAGAACAAGCACTTATGAGTTAATAGCATTTTAATAAATTTTACATACTCTGAAAAAATCGAAATAATTTTTTTCTTACTTTGTTCCTTTAATATAGTCATGACGTCCTCTTTATTATATATTTTCCCAACTTAGAATAATCAAAAAGCATATCTATGAAGAATTAGACCATCCATTCCAGAATCATCTCCATAAAGACTGAAACATGATTTCCATCGAGTTTTTTAATCGCAAAGTGCTCCAGTCAATTATTTTATTATGGGCGATAAGTGCTCTTTTAATATGATATCTCTTTAATAAGATCCGTTTATCTTAACACCTGGATCTATAAAAATGAGTTGAATGGTGCAAAAATTTAAAACTGTATCATTTTCCAAATTAAAGAATGATGTCACAGTAAATTGTTTTGGTAAACCAAATAAAATTAACCAAACCTAGATTGAATTTACGCAAAAGTTTCTTAGCACAAATCAAACTAGCAAATTTATTCGCAGTTGTAATATGTTGGGCCTTTTCCTTCAAATATTTTACTTAAAAATAAATTGATGTAATGAAGTTTGTGATATACAAATCTCTGGATATTTGAAAAATATATTTTATAGGTGCCCGATTAGTCTTCTTGAATAATTACAAGTATATCAACAAGTTTGATATTTGTCAGAGTTCGACCACTTAGTGGTCTCCTAAAACCAAACCTTTTGTCTGCTGATTCCCTTGTATCAATTTTGCGAATAAGCCGATTGAGTCCTGAAAGAGACTAGTTTCTATTTGGGATCCTGAAATAATCGTTTGATGTCGTTGAGTCGTAAAATATTAATTAAACTTAAATCATCTTTATTAAAAACCATATTTCTTTTATCGCTTGGTATCGAGAAAATCATTTGGTTTTTTATTTTTAAATAAAGTTGCATATTTTCTAAACCTATTAAGAAATTTATAAAACTTTCCAGAATTGTTAAGAATGAGTTATTTTATCACTATAAAATTTTATAAAGGAATCTTAAAAACAGACAGTTATGATTAAGTGAAAATGGTGTCACTTCAATTGGACCACCCTCTATTTATAAGATGTATTTGGTAATAAAATCTCGAAGAATGGTTTGACTAAACTAACTGTAAATGCCTATTAAATGTAAATTATTCGTAATTAAATGTTCATGTCATAAGTATTTAACCAACATCCTCGTAAACTTTTTAAATTTATTTCCATATTAGAAAAAATTAGGGATTTTATCATTTGCATGAATACGAATTATTAAACTCGAGCGAATTAAAATATTACTATCATTCGACTTTGACCATAGGCCTAGTTAACTCTCGCGAAATATCGATCAGTGTTGTTAAACGCTACTTTTAAAAGTAGCGCGCTATCGCTATCGTTTTCAAATGAGTAGAGCGCTATTAGCTACTTTTTACGCTATTTTGATTTTTAAAAAATTTTTTTTACATAACTTTATTTCCACAAATAAATATTGGTATAAAAACATGACTATAATTTGTTATATATATATATAATTTATTTAATATTGCACTTTATAATAATAACATTTTGTACTGTTATCCCCAAGTCTAGAGCGACGATCAGAAAGTATTAGCTTTGCTATACTAAATAATCGTTCAGCACTAGCACTTGAGGGCAACGCAGTATTAAATTTAATAAACACACTTTTTATATGAAAAAAATCATGATATTTAAATGAGTATTTTTAGATTTAAAAAAATAATCTAGAGGTTCAATAATATTATTATTTATTTTAAAAAAATCGTCTATGGAGGGCCGCTGTTTCGATCTTGCTATAGTATTAGTATCGTGGTTAGGCATGGCATTTTTTAATGTTACCATCAGCCTATCAAGTTGCCATTTAGATTCAGTCAAATTAATGTATAGCCAATTTAACTTGAAACTAGGATGGACGATAGCAGCTATTACATTATCATCATCATACAGATCTGGAAATCTAATTTATATCCTGTGATCTGTACACAGGTTTCAATTCTCACTAAAATCACAAACTTAGTCAACAAAATCCTAAATGGAGACGTACCCAGCTTTATTACCCCCTTACTAATCGGTGCCAGACTCATCGCACTTCAAAAACCAAACAAGGACATTCGGCCCATCGCCATTGGTTCAACTTACAGTAGATTGGTCGCTAAATTAATCGCATCTAGAATCAAACACGATGCCGCACACATTCTAAGCCCCTATCAACTTGGTGTAGGGATACCTGGTGGGTGTGAAGCTGCTGTGCACTTAACAAGAATTCACCTTGAAAATAACCCAAAAAACGAATCCCTAGTAAAAATTGACTTCTCTAACGCCTACAACACTCTTTCGCGCAACACGTTCCTACATTCAACTTGCTTCCATTTCCCCGCTTATAATAAATTTCTTTTCTCTTGCTACCAATCACCAACAATCTTACAATTCAACAAAGAAAAGATACGTCGAGGGTATCCAACAAGGTGACCCTCTCGGATCCCTTCTCTTTAGTCTTGGAATCAATGACATGATAAAATCAATAAACTCTTCATGTACTCTATCGCTCCACGCTTGGTATATTGATGATGGAATCTTGAGTGGTCCCTGTAGTGAAATTGCCAAAGCAGTCACCATAATTAAAGAAATGGGCACAGCCATTGGACTTTCGCTTAACCAGAGCAAATCTGAATTCTCACTTTTAAATTCTAATGCTCCCAACACTCACGATTTCAAATTCACATCAAGCGTTGAATTAACACATCTAGGATCGCCTGTTGGAGGACACGAGGCAATAAGCACCTTTCTTCATTCCACACTTGACATACTCCTTAAACTGGAGGACATCTTTACACTTCTTCCATCACACAAGTCCTTTTTTTTGCTAAAAAATTTCTTTTTTATACCAAGGATTCTTTACGCACTTCGGTCAACACCAATTTTTAAATATCCTATTCCTCTCCAAACTTACGAAAAAGGAATAAAGGACTTAACCGAAAAAATAGTAAATATCAGATTCAACGAAACCGCTTGGGCCCAAGCAACTCTTCCAACCAAATTTGGTGGTCTCGGCATCAGATCTCCACTTGACTTAGCAACAACTACTTTCATATCGAGTAGTCTCTTGACAAAGCCAATAACCACCGCCCATAATTCTAAAGAAGATCTTTCCTTAATCGTGGCTATGGATATTTGGAAAACAAGGATCAATGCTGATTCTCATCCCCCCACAACCCATAAACAGAAAGACTGGGATGCACCAGTGGTTGCTCGCTGCGTTGAAACTCTCTTATCTAGCATGCAATCTACCGACCGCACCCTATTCTCTTCCTTGCTCAATGGTACGGGACATGAGTTTCTTGAGGCCATCCCATCTACCAATCTTCAGCTTCAACTATCCAACAATGAATTTACCCATGCCATCGGCATTCGTCTAAATTGTTCCATCACTCACCCCCACATCTGCTCAGGGTGCAACTCGCCAGTTCACTCGAAGGGTAGACATAGTTTACATTGTCGCTCCTGCAATGGACGATTCATCAGACACAAGCAATGTAATACAATCATCCAACATGCTCTGAAATCCGCCCAAATTCCTTCCACGTTAGAACCACAGGGTCTTCTTAGATCTGACGGTAAACGTCCTGATGGGATCTCTCAAATCCCATGGAGGAGAGGCCAACTTTTGGTATGGGACTATTCCTGTATTGACCCCTTGGCCCCATCCAACCACGCCATCAACATCCTTGACCAGAAGGAACAACTTAAAATTTCTAAATACACAGAAATAATAAACGATCATTGCTTTATCCCAATCATATCAACCACTCTTGGCACCTTCGGCAAACTCGCCTTAGCATTTTTCAAAAACTTAGGATCACAAATCAGCAAACTCTCAGAAGAACCACGAGAGGGTTTTTTTCTTCGTCAACTATTATCCATAGCGATTCACAAAGCTAATTATATCAGTTTCAATGGTAGACTTCTAGCCAAAGAGCTATCATAGACAACGCTTACGTCCCTTTTTCATTTTTGTTTCCCTGCGTCACACCATCTCCGTTCTTTTTTTTAATAGTATTATTATATATTTTTCAAACATTTTTAAATATATTAAAATTTATTATAATGAAAATTTAAATTATTATACCTTATATTGATAATAAACTATATTGTATTAATTATAAAATAAGAAAAATACCTATTTAATTTTCAAAATTTAAATTTATCTGAGTTTTAGATTCATTTATGAAAAAATATTAAAATAGCATTAAATTATGGTAAATAAAGATTTTAAAAATATAATTATTATACACAAGGTAATTAATAATATATTAATTTTGAATTTTGTATTAATATTATATGTAAATTAAGCCAATTTAAATTATGGCTAATCAAGCAATAAATCATTCATTTTATATAATTGTATAATAGAAAATAAAAATAAAGTTTTGACCTTTTCTTAATGCCTTCTTGCATCGAAACCGATATCCAGTAGTAATTTTTTCTTAAAAATTAAAGTATTTTTTGAATTTTGGGAAAGGATAATCTATATTTTTCTCATTTTCCAAAGAAATTTCACTAATTTCAACAATC